GTTTGGGGTCGCGGCTGCCCGGGGGTTGGGCTGGGAGATAAGCTCTTTACAGTGGTAATACAGTAGTAGGACAGTAGCAGGATAGCAGTAGCACAAAGGTATTAATGTATTAATACAGCAGTACAGTAGTACAGTAGTAGTACAATAGTAGTACAGTAATAGTACAGTAGTAGCACAGTAGTAGTGCAGTAGTAGTACAGTAGTAGTACAGTAGTAGTACAGTGATAGTACAGTAGTAGTACAGTGGTAGTAGACTCGTAGTACAGTAGTAGTTACTGAGCCCTAAACCCCTACACCCTAACACCCCTAAACCCTAAAACACACCCTCCCCAAAAAGAAAAAAACAAAAAGAAAACACAACACCGAAAACCCCAACATTTAGGGGCCCAAGCCGTGGCCCGAAGCCCCAGCACCGGCCTGAGCATGATGCCCAAGTCATGGCCGACGCGGGCGGGGACGCAAGAAGCCGGGCGTCGTAGGGTTTTGGGGCTTTTAGGTGTTGACAGGGTTTAGGGGTTCAGGGCTGAAGGGTTTTTATGGGTTTATGGGGTTTAGGGTTTAGGGGCTTAAAGTTTAGGGTTCAGGGGTTCAGGGGTTTAGGGCTTGAGGGGCTTATGGGGTTTTATGGTCAAGGATCGTAAGGAGCTAGTAAGGACTAGCAGGGAATGGTGGTGGTAGTAGTAGTAGGAGGAGGAAGAACGGAAGTAGTAGTACTAGCGTGAATACTTGTGGCCGTGGTAGAAGGAGCAGAGTTCTCCGAAGACGGGGAAGAGAGTGCAAGGCTTGGGCTTCAGGAATTAGAGGTGAAGGTCCAAGGAGTGTCAGTGAAGAGCTTAAAGGCTCCGGGAGTGTAGGGGTTCCCGAAGCTTTTACTTTGAAGTCTTTGGGGCCGCAGATTCTTTGGGACACGATGGCAGCGGGTCACAGGCGATAGCAGGGGGCTTCTCTGGAGCACCGTGGCCATCAGCCTGGTCTCCAAAACTATCGCAACCACTCCAAAAACCCGAGACCCTCAACCCTAAGCCACGGTTTAGAGACGAAGACCAACCCTGAAACCACCCAGCCTGAAAACGCCAGTCTTCCGGAAGACTATGGGCCCAAGAGAGTCTCGGAACCCACTCCTGAGGCACCAAACCCTGACGTCCCCGACCTGAAGGCCAAAAGCTACCGAAACAAACAAAGCATACTGAGCTTCGGGTTTTAGGGTTTAGGGTTTGGGCCTTGTCTAGGGATCTAATTTGCTTTTAATCACATCCCCTCAAGAGGCCGAAAGACCCCAGAAACTTGAAGCACACTGTTGTGTGCCTTGTTGGGGCTCTTGCCAGGGAGCTACAGTTACAGCACCGCATAAAAGATATATGTACATATGCATATATATATATATACACACCTATTTATGTCTGTGTATGTATGTATATATATATATATATGTATGTATGCATGTGCTGCATATATATATATATATGTATATGTATATGTATATGTATATGTATATGACAGCCTTTGGATAACACACAGTTCTCAAACCCCGCCCGAACCAAGCATTCAGAAGCCTTTTTTGAATTCTGCCCGAGCCATTCAGCTGTTCCAAAGGCGCCGAAGGCCGAAGATGCCAGCGCTCCATTCGTTGCAAACCTTCCCGCAGAGGCGTCGGGGCGGGGTTTAGGGTTTCGGGCTTAGGGTTTAAGGTCCAGGGTTCAGAGGTTCAGGCTTTGGCAGTTTAGGATTCCATGTGAAATTCTCGCAGAAGGTAGCCAAGAATCTAGCTGTGTCGGAGATCAATGTGAAAAAGCAGAACGTCCAAACAACATGAACACCATCCTAAAACAGCGAGGTGAACATGGGGTTCCTAAAACCACACTGGATAAGAAGGGGGGCGGGGTAACTAGAATAATGGAACAACATTTCTGTATGCCTCTGTATAGATCTGTGATCTGTGGGGATCGTGAGGAAATGTGATTTTAGAACTATGACAGAACCGCATGACCCACAAACTCCTGACCTGTACCACTGAAGCGGCAAAAAAGCGTCCATTGAACGGCCACCTTGATTTGCAGCGTTTTCAACGGTCCGGCTGCAGGAAACATCGAGATTAAGACCTGTCTGAGTCTGAGCTGCAAGGGTCCGTGTCACTGGAATCGGCAGCAAGCCGGAGGAGTGACCACGGCTGTTTCGTCGAGTCGGGTTGACCATCGACAGAGCTTTCGGCTTTGTCTTGACGAGCTTGAATGAACAGCTCGGTGGCATCTCTTGCATGGAAACGACTTTGGCTCCAGTCAGCAATCTGCGTCCGCAGCTGGTGCAGGAATTGATCCCCACCATTTTCCTGTTGTTTCAAGGTTTCGTAAAATGCCAGATGATCCTGTAGTTGAAATTCCGGATGGTTGTCGCTGAAATCCTTCATCTGCTGCAGAGGCATGCGTCCGGGCCGAAACAAATAGCAGCGCATCTGTGGCACGTTCAACCGGCAAGCTGCGTTGACACTGTGTGTAAGACAGAACCATGCAAGAAACCACCAGTTGGTGCCACACACATACCATGTCCAGCTTGCCTTCAGCGCATCTCCGCCATGTCCACTTTGGTTCTGAAGCAAGAAACCGATAGCTGAGACAAAGCCGACTGCGCAAAAGAGCAGGAGATAGCACCAAATGAGCACTTTACCCACATGTAAGACACACGTAAACATGCTTCGGTCCGTTGTCGAGAGCAACGAAGCACGGACTCGCCTGCCAAAGAACCACGTTTGGAAGATCGCCATGTGTAGACTCATCGCGATGCCACTGCAAAGTGCTGCAGCGATGACAAGATGTAGTGCGACTGAAACACCGAAAGCCCACTGTCCAGTCTGCACCGTGCCGACAAGGCGGCGAAACAAAGGACCAGCTGCGAAGGGACCAATCCCCATTGCGATGGCAGAGCGCCAGAGATTTCCGATCCACCACAGTTGCGTCTCAAAGAAAGCAGCATCTACCCATGCCAGTTTTTGGTAGGAGCAAGGTGTCATGTCTGGATCACCACGCAAGCCGACCGTCAAGAGATTTTGTGTAGGATCCCAAGGAAGAGTGGCCTTGATCACCCTGAAAGGAACATCGTAGGTGATGGCGTGCAAATAGTCGCCGTGGACGTTTGACAACCGAATCTGTTCGAACTTGGACATCGTGGCCAAAAGGAGGAGAAGGGGAGTGGCCAGGAAAAAAACAGTCTCCCAAAGAGCCAGCTGGTAGTAGCACCCAGATTCTTCTGCAAAGACTTCCACTGCAGCCGTACTCCAAACGAATGCAGCGAAGCAAGCAACTGCTTGAAACACCCAAGAGCCGATTCCGAGAGAAAGTGACAGCCATTCTGGCGTACCACAGAGCAAGGCCCAGTCATGGACTACTTTCAGCGATGTCCACATGATGATACCTGTCAGATATACCCAGCGCGTGAGGCCATCTGCAAGGTGATTCCGGATGCGCTTGGCGGTGCTTCGACGCTCACAGTGCTCTGCTGTCACCTTTGAAGCGTTTGGAAAGCCCTGGCGGCTGGAATTGCTCAACCAAGTCGCTGTGCAAGAGTACAGGAGAGGTGGATAGAGGAAGATCAGGCTTGGACTTTCAAGGACACCCTTCAATGACAAATCCGGTGCGGGTTTCACTTGGAACGCTTGGCCATTGGTTACTGACACGAAAAGTGGAAACTGGCAGAAGCGGTCTTCGTCGGTGCTGATTCCAAGATTCTCAAAAGTCGTCGCGGGAAGCCCAGGCGTTCCGGCGTAGCGAATGAAAACACATGCCTCGGTGCAGGCCTCCAAATTTGAGCTGCTTAAGCCCTGGCCTACGAAGGTCAACAACGGTGCGGAAGTGAGAACAGTGATTGCAAAGACTTTGAAGTAGATGAACGGGGATGTCACAGCAACCTCATTCACTTCTGGAGCCCAGTGGGACGGTTCCATACTGCCTGTCACTTCGCGCTCACCTCTGCGCTGCCCCGGGAAACAGAGAGGGCATGCAAGTCATCGCAGGGTCCATCGGAACCTGGACTTTGGACTCAGATAGCGCTGCAAAGATCTCCATCCGATACGGCGAAAACAGAGGCGCAAATGATCAACTCCCTGGACCAGTAGATCCCGACAACACCTTGGGTCCCGGGCGGATCTACACTCTGCATGACCCTGCTCCGATGGTTGAGCTTGTTCAAAAGCAACCCCAAAATAATCAACAACCCTAAATCCCAAACCCCGAACAACCTTGGACCTCAAGAAGCACCTCCCGCAACCCTACAAACCCTTTTAAACCCCAAGACACCCTAAACCCTCCCAAACAGCCCTAAAGGGACACTAGAATTTCGAAGCGCAAGGGCCCTGCGACCACGCCTTCCGAGCCTCCACCACCCTCAGCGACCTCGCCTTATGGTGGGGGGGGGGGGGGGGGGGGG